CTTAACAAGCTATTTAGTTGTCTTTGTATTTTGTGCGAGTGGAGTCGTGAAGCTTACTGACCGCGTTCTTCCACAAACACACCAATGGATGGTAAGATCAGAATTCTTGCTAAATCCTTTCGTCATTAAGCGTCATTAGTGTTCAGCTTGCTAGGCAAAGAAAACAATGAAACCTAAGGCTAGTATTTAGCACGTCTATTATCGTAATTGTGAGCTATTTTTCCGGGAACAGGAATATGCGACTACAGAAATAAAATAATTTATGTTAAACAAAATTGTAGCTGTATGAAAGCAAAACAAAGTACTGTAATTTCGGTGCGCAAAGCAAAAGGCAATTGCCTTGGAATATGTTTGGTTCTTTGGTGTGTCGATTTACAAAAAGAAAGAGCTAGTGATTTCAGTTTTGCTTGAATTTCACATTTGTGAATTGTGTGATTAAATTCAAAAGGTAGCAGTGGTAAAATGAACTGATAATATATCAACATCACTCTATCAGGCTCGCTCAATYAGGGAAGCCAATTAATTGCCACTCGCTGTTCATTTCCAAATCGTGCAGCTTTTTGCCTTAAATGATATGCTAATGTTTTGTGAAAAGAAATACCTGGTGAACTAGCAGTCGTCATGAGTTTTAACTAGTGAGATCGAATTTCAGTTCATTGAAAATGGTCATGCGATAATGATGCACGCTTCCTCGGACATTTACCACGAGTTTTTATAATTGGTTTTGTTTGTTTGTTATTTTTTTCAGAAAAAAGAGTTTGTACGTTATGCTAAAGTTCATCCATTCACAGTATATTTTGATTATCACGTGGAACCTGTGCTTTACATGAAGGTACCTTTATTGATAGATCAGAATTGCAGGTCCAGACGGGCGATTGGGAAAACCACAGGGGGCCCAGACAATCACAATGTGCGCCTATTTTGCCTGAACAAGCGTTGATGCGTGGAAATGTTACATATGTAGCAATTCCTTTCRCAAACTAAAAAATGTTTTGAACTATTTTTGATTTTTGATAAATTAAAAATCATCACATCATCTTGGATAAAGATGTCATTGAGGGACCAGCTCTGTCTACCCAAACTTCCCCCTCTCCTATTGGGAATAAAAAAAGGACCTCTGATGATKCATCAATGCCTGTCCATAACCTGAACTGCTTTAATGGAAATGATTGGCTCTTTTTTTAAGATGAAGTAGGGGGCTGTTAGTGCTGCTTTGGGACTCCCAGCCAAAAGACAGATCAATTATGATTTTTATGATTGAATTTAGTGATTAATAAAATAAAAATGAAGAATATGTATTTTGTTTATAATTTTGTATTATTTACATTGCTCATGYATTTTCATTTATTTGTTCATCCATTCATTTTTTTCCATCTTTCATTGATTTATTCTAGGTTATAGGATGGGTAGAACTTGTCTGTGGGCTYGTTTTGCTGTCAAGTCCCAGGCCTCTAAAAGTCCTTAGCTCTCTTATTTGTATGGTGATTATGRTTGGTGCAGTGTTTACAATCTACAAATTGAACATGCCGTTACAAGAAATGGTCCCAGCAACAGTGACCTTTGGCCTTCTTCTTGTCAATATGTTGTTTATGTTTCAAGTGGAAAAGGAAGATGCAAAGAAGATGGATTAGAAAAAAATATCTATAGATATGTAACAAGCTACGAACACCCAACCACCCCTCACCACCTCCAGCACCACTCAATTGCATTGCACGTAAAATATGCAAATGGTCTTACAAAATAACATCAGAAAAGAAATTTTTATAGCACTTTTAAATTCTATGGTTCAATAGTTTTGACAAGTCTACAGCTGCAGTAGAGATCACACTTAAACCATTAAGTACTGTGTACAAAATCTAATTTAAGTTTTAATTTGTATTATAAAACTCACTAATATTCATAAGGCAAAACACAATCATAGCCCATGAAGAGAGTTGTATATTACATACAGATTTCTTGTTCATTTGCATAAACTTTTACTCTGATTTTCTCAGTCAGATTGAATTTTTCTTCAAAAGTTTCTTTAAAACCTGAGCTAATTTACCTTAACGTTTCATAAGTAATATACAATATTCGCGTTAAATCCTCATACAGATTGCCCACTCATATTCTATATATTACCTAAAAGTGGACCTGAAGCAAGTCGGTATTGAATGCTTCATTTGTATCAATTCAATTAAATTTGCATACAATAATTACATGCACTCTCTTTTGTGTTTTCAATCAAGCATGCACAATTTACTAAATGCAACTAAATAGCACTATTTAGTTTGTACAGTTGCATGGTATAAGTGTGATCACTCCTACCATTTATTAGAGTCACGTAATCCTAAAAAGTCTTAATGTATCTTTTATAGTTTTTAGAAATATAGAGTTTTTTAAATATGTAGTGGCAAGTGCATGGTCTGAATTGAATTTGATGGCTACTACAAAATATTTTTGCTACCAGAAGGTTACTTAATAATTATACTAGGTCCTACTCATTTTTTTTAAATACATGATTTTACTCTTTGTAAAATTTTACTCTTCTGTTAAATGATTGCAATAAACTATTTAGTCATTCTCGTTCGGTTTCTATCATGTTTTGTTTTGTTTTGCATTTCATTTACATTCGTTGCATATTCATGAGTTTATCAATCACGTACAGCGCGCTTTGGAGTGTGAATTGCGTGACGAAATCCGGCTCACCAGATCAACAGTCGATTGGTATTTTTAACACTCAATTTTATTTCCTAACTATACTATTCATATTGGCGATGGGTCTTCTCAGCCGAGTTACAAATTGTTTGGTGGTGATTCTATTTTGTTCAACTGGAATTCTCAAAGTCACCGATAGAATACACGGTCCAACGCATAATTTTATGGTAAGACTATCCATAGTCATAGTATCGACTCTAAAATTCAACTTACAGCGAATTTTGCAATAGCAGTATAGTAGCTAGTAAGATTCAATAAAATACAAGACTCGATAATATAAAGGACGTCGAATGATCATAGAATAACCTTATGTTCTAAATAAACTTTTGGTTTGTTGACATCAACAAGCCAGAAGAAATGTTACAATTAGGCGCCAATTTTGATTCTGATCGAATTGAAATTACAAATCTCGTGTAGGGATTTTGTTATTCTGTAGAATTACTAAATACCGTGATAGTTTATATTGTATTAACCATAAATTCCCTTCTGGCACTATACTCTTTGAAATATTTTGGGTTTTGGCGCGCACTGAATCGGCACGCATCACTCA